TTAATGAATTATTATTTCTATTGATATTTTCACTAAAAAATCAATTACTATAATATATATATACCATAGATTTATAATATTTATTTTGAAATACTTCAATTTCTCATTACTTAAATAAATTATTTGATCTTCAAATATATAAATTTGATCAATATATTAAAGATAGATTTATCAATAAAAAATGTATCAATATTTAAAAAAATACTTCATAAGAAATATGGAAGAACATTCTTTGGATTAATACTTTTAGCACTCTCTGGCACTTCTTTAAATGTCTTCCATGTTGATTACAATTATTCATCTAAACATAAAATTGATGCTATATTTCCACATCTATAACAATAATTAGGAGCAGACCATACAGTGACTAAATTTTAATCCTAAAAATATATATGATAATTTATACAGGGAACCAATATTTATATCCTTCCATAACTAATTAATGTGCTCTACATATTAAACTCAAATCATTAAGTCTACAAAATTCCTTTGTTACTTTTGCACCAAATAAATATCCTGCACCTCTTGAATTAACAGCCCAATATTCTACTTCTTCAGGATCTGACCACATTAAATCACAAAATGGACCTTCATGAGGAATTTCAATCTAAATTGTTTTTTTATTTCTATTACCTTTCTATCTATAGTTCTAATTTAATCTATTGTTCTCATATCTGGAGATAATCCACCATGTACACAAAGTATCTATCCTTCAATTAAAGCAGCTAATGGTAAGCAATCAAAAACTTCCATAAACAATCTCCAAGGACTGCTATTTCCATATTTTCTTAATAATTCTTCATAAAATCCATAAACTTAAGTGCATTGTCTAGATTCATGATTTCCTCTTAATAGAACTATATTTCCTGGATATTTAACTATAATGATCATTAATTTGAATTCATACCTTTTAAACAAAGTAAATATTCCATAGTTTCTACACTATTATACCCTCTATCAACAAAATCACCAATAAAAATATAATTATGTTCTGGAATATCTCCTCCTTCTTTAATTAATGCTTATAAATCATAAAATTGACCTAAAGGATAAACAATAGTAAAATACCATGAATATCACCACAAACATTTACAGGGGCCTTCACTGGTTAAACATTTGATTCTTCTAAGAAGATTTCCTTTGCTCTTTCACAAATTAACTTTAAATCTCTTTCTGGAAGACATCCTCCTGAAAGTAATGATGCAATATGACGATCGATGTCCATTAATTAAAGATTTACTTTATAATTTTTATTAATATATAATGTTAAAATAATTTGGCAAACATAATAAAAGATTCTTATCTTAATATAATAGAAATAGATTCAAAAATACATATAAAAAATTGAGTTCTTATATAAAAACATTATAAATTAATTTAATATGTATATAATTTAACTATTAGTGAGGTAAGAATAAAATTTATGAAAATTAATAATGTCAATGATTTGAATTCATTCAACTCCATACAATTATTTTGATATTCTGTTACACTCTTATAGAATTTCATTTTCATCAAGCCATTAATTTTTGTTAATATATGCCAATCCTATTTAATATACTTAATCTCTTTAAAATAACTAATAGAATAATAGAAATAATATCAAAACATACTTTATATTCCATCAAAGTTTAATAAATTTTGCGTTTAACATCATTCATCTTTTCATTTGGTCTTACTAATGGAATTATTATATTTGTTGTAGATTTAGTTTTTTTGTCTACTATAGCATAATGAGGAGATTAAATAGTATTTTCATTAGAGTTTTTTTATGTATCAGTATAAATAAAAAAATCTTCATCTTTTATTTCTTCATTTATATGAATATCAGCATGATCAAAAGGACCTTCCTATTAATTCCTTTTTGATTAAGTTTATAATTTATATGAACTTTGATCAAAGGAAAAAGCATTAGATAAAAGTGTGTCCCCTTTACTTAATTTTGATTTACTAAAAACTGATTCAGGTCTTTTTTTCGCTCAAAATAACTCAAATAGAAAATATACTTCCATTCATATTCCAAAGGATGAGAGGACTTTTCTTCCCATTCTCTTTTACTTATTCTTGAATTATCTTTAATAGATGAGGCTATGCTATGTATTTTTGAATTAGATTTAATTCTTTAAATATTTTTTTGAGTTCTTGTAGATATTTCTTGAATATTATTTTCTAGTGCTTTTATGTTATTTAAATGATTCTTTAGTTAATAAATTCTTATACTTATTCTTGTATAAATTATGATACTTTATTTTTCTTTTTTAATTACTCTTTCATATTGAAAGTCTTTGGCATTTTAGTATCAGAATAACCTGATTTTAAGGATTAGACACGACGATAGGTTTCATTGATTTCTGTAAAATCTTGTTTATCTTCTAAAGTAGATAATAATTAAAATAAAAACTGATGGAGAATGGTTTATTTGAATCAACATGAGGATGGGGTGGTTTAATTACAATTTAAGGTCTACTATTAATTAGTGCAAGTATATGCTTTTCTTATAAAGTATCAATTTATTATTTGCCACCTTAATTACAACTATTTGGGTTAAATTATTTTCTTTTCATAATAAATAAAAATATAATTATCTATAATTATCTAATATCTGTAAATATAAGATTATCATAGTTTACACCATTTTTTTTTAATATATAAATTGATATTAAAATCTAAAATAATTATTAATATTAAATAATACATAAATAACATGAATTTGTAAGAAGAAGATATTGAACAATGTTAGCGAGCTTTCAATGATTTGGATGATGTAAATTTAAATAATCTATTATCTAATTTAGAGAGGAGAAGGTGAAATAATGGCTGATGATTTGGAACTTGCTTTAGAAATGGTAGGTTTAAAGTAGAAACCACACAAGGTTCATAAATTAATTAGTGAAATTGATGATGGAAATAGAGGTCGCATCAAATTTAAGGAATTTTTGACTTTATTTGCCAAACTTAAATATGCTGGTTTATAAGATGATGATTAAGATATGATTGATGCATTTGTAGCAATGGGTGGAAATGAAGATACTACTGGAAATGTAGATGCTGAAAAGTTAATTAGGATTATTAAGAATGAATTCGAATTAACGATTGACATTGAAGGATTAATTAAAGAAGTAGATACAGATGGATCAGGAGTAATTGAATTTGGTGAGTTTAAAGAATTACTAAAGACTAATTATTTATAAGATGATGAAAATGACGTACCTTGATGTTGAATATTATATTTAATTATATTGCTATAATTCTAATCCTATTATATAATATATAATATTTTCAAAATAGAATTCATTCTAAAAATATAATACTTATATTTTTCTATTCTTTTAAATTAAAATATTTCTTATTAAAATTAACTATCAAATAATTTATTAGATACTCTAGTAAATTTATTTATTTATATATAAATAATATACTAAATTTTAAATATTATTAATGAAATGGAATGAAAATTAATTAGAATAACTTTTAATTGTAATTTACATTGTTTATATATCTATTCATTTTTTTATTTAATTTGTTTATGATCATCCTAAAAAAACCATATAAACAAATTTAATTTATTAATTAACAAAAAATTTATATATGAATTTAACTGAGGAAGACATTGATATGTGTTAAAGGGCATTTGCTGAAATGGATGAAGTATATTTAATATTTCATTTAGGATGGTGTTGGAGCTATTAGAGGCCAGGATTTAAAAATTGCTTTAGAAAAAATCGGTTTCAAACCATCAGAAAATGAACTCTATAAAATTATAAGTGAAGTTGAGGAAACAAATACAGGACTTATAAGATTTAGTGATTTCTTAGGTGTGTATTGGAAATTTAAGTATTCTAACTAAGATGGTATATATTATTAACTTAATTATTTTAGATGATGACTAAGACACAATTGATGCCTTTGTTGCTATGGGAGGAAACCCAGATAAAACAGGATCAGTATCAATTTTAGATTAATCAATAGATAAGTACAGATAAACTAGTATAAATTATTAAATCTGAATTCGAGTTAACAATTGATATAGAAAGTCTAATTAGAGATGTAGATAAGGACAATTCAGGATAAATTGAATTCGGAGAATTTAAAGATCTATTAAAAACTTCATACGCTAATGATGAATGAAACCTTTAATTGTTAAGTTATTATTAAATATTTTTTCATTGTATTATCATACATCTTTCTATTGTAAATTTAACTAATTTGTTATATAATTCATATTAATTAAACAAAAAACATAGAAATATCATATCATTTTCTAATAAACTTAACGAATAGTATTAATTTTATTTGAAATTTCTATATTTAAAACATCCATTATTATACATTTATCTTTAAATCTAAATAACTTCAGTTTAATAACAATAAACAAATAAAATAGAAAATTTTAGAAAATGTCAAAAATATTTTAACCTATAGATAAAAAATATCCTCTTTTTTATTGAATAATAATAGTTATATAATTTATATTATTGTATTTATTTAGTATTAGTATAACATTATTGATAATATTATTCACAAAATCTAAAAAACTTGTTTTAAATTAATTCTTTTTAATTTATACAATTTCTTTAGAAAGATTTAAAAATAAGTTTTTATAGATGAGACTTCAATATTTATTTAATTTGTATATGACTAAATTTATTTAATATAAACTAATTGTTCAACTTTCAAGAATGAGATTTATTTATTTTAATTAATAAATAAGAGTAATTATTTAAAAATCATTAATTTAGATTATATGTCAAAAGAAAAGCACAACCTTTTAACACACTATATTACAATTACATTTATCCTGAGAACTAATTTATCAATTTCCAAGAATTTATCTATGGTTTTACAATTTATTATTACTCTTTATCCATTACTTATAACATTAGAATCAGAGTATTTCAAAAATCTCAAATAAAATTGGATTTATCAGTTTTTTATTCTTATTTTTAGGCCTGATATCATTATTTCTAAGTATTTTATTAATACTTATTCTAAGCACTAATATGCATCTAATACCTTTAATAATGTTTATGTTACATAAGGTTATTTGGGTTCTTCTATTTTACCATTATTAAAAATAACAAACTTAGGATAGGTTTATTAAATTAATTCAGAAGAATTTGTTGTTAAAGTTTGTGAGTCTCATTTATACATTATATTAAAAATTGATAAGCACATATTTATTTATGTTATTTAGTCTTCTCTGTATGACAAGTTTAAGAAAATAAATACAATTATTTGAATAAGAAAAAATAATGATAATTCACATAATAATCAATTTTATAACTATATTTATTTTATTGCTTGAATCATTATTTACTTTATGCTATTTTGATTAATCTATTACACATTAAGTAAAAGATATAGAAAGAACAAGACTTACAAAAACACGTGTTATTTATCAAGTGTTAATTATATTATAAATCTTTTAAGTAATATTGGTTAATTTAGAATACATATTATATATATAAACACTGTTAGTAATATTAACATAGATTGTATTAATTTATGATTAATTTAAATATTTTACTCTTAATTTAACTTTTTAATAATAACCAACCTTGATGGCAATTTCAATTAATATTGCCTTTCATTTACATACATTAATTTTTTAATAGTACATACTTAATTAAATTTTATTACCACTTTTAATTCTTGGTATGTTAACATTTTATATTATAAATAATTATAATTAATATTTTAATAGTTTATAATTGAAATTGCTATTTATGTAAGAATTTAATTCAATTTGGCAAATAAAGTATTCCTTAATAAAATTATAGAATAATGATTTGAATTCCAAATAATCAGAGATAATCATCAAATCTTTAATTGCATCAGAACATAGAAAAAATTGCAACGATATCAAATGTTTCTACTGTGGTCATTAATATATAATGTACACAACTTAAACATGTGGAATAACACTTTAAATTTATAGAGAATTCATAATGAAAAAAATGAAATAATTTACTTAATTATTTTAAATAAATTCAAAATAAGAATATGAAAATTAAGTACTATTATAATATGCATTTATGCTTTATGATTTTGGATTAATTATGAGATCTGTTAAATTACTTTGTTATTTAAATTATAATTGTAAAAATAATGATAATAATAAATTAAATTCATTATCATTTTCTAGAGATTAATTAACATAAATGTAGAATTATGATCTATCAACTATGAATTAAACAATTTTATAAGAATGTTTTGAATAAAATAATACTTTATTATAAATGCTATCAGTATACAATTTAAAATTCAATTATTTCGATATTGTGAAATTAACATTTATTTTTAATTAAGCTAAGAGTAAAATAAATGCATCATTAGGTACATCTTTTCATGCAGCTTAAAAATCATTTATATCAGATTATATAGAATAGAATATTGAACTTGATATAATGCTTACTTAAAAAGAAAGATTAATTTTTGATTTAATTGAATAAAAATTATAATTCTATTAAATGATTGTAAAAACAACTATGATTAATGAATAAATTAGTGTTTTACATAATAAAGTATATAAATTGTGTTATAATTTATGTGATTTGCAAAAAAAGATAGCGTTAGCATATAAACATAAACCAAGTTTTAAATTACATAGAATTGTATGTTTCTTTTATGGTGAAGTATTGTGTGACTACAAAAAAGCTATACATTTTTTTAGAAATTCTGACTTTTTTGAAGCATAAAAATTATAATTTTAGTAGATTAAAAATTTTAATATAAATTCTTCAAATGTTCATTATCTAATTTTGGAAGTAAAGGATGATATGGAGACTTTGAAAATTTAATAATTCTCTAATAAATTTTTTCATTCTTTTGGTGGAGGGATATAACATGCAGAAGAACATTAATTTAATGATTTATTACCTAAATACTTAGTATAACATCATTGTAATTTAGTTAAAAGGTTTTTTGAAACAGGTGAAGCTAAATATTATTAGATGTTTGATATCAATTATATAAAAAATAAGAATTAACTCTTGACTCCAATAAATATGTGTTTTATTATAACAAACAAATTTGTTAATTAAAATATTACATTTGCTACATTTTTATAAGAAGCTTCCTAAGATTAGGTTTATATTATTGTAGATGGGATTAGTTTAGCATGTACATTTACATAAAATTTATTAACATTAATAGGTTGGTTTGAAAGTGATATAGAAACTTTATGTTAATAAGAAAAATATGAAAATTTATAAATAACTAGAATATATCCAAATTTTGTTAGATTTATTAGATAAAATAAAATAAAATATTCAAAACTTAATTAAAGTATCCTTATTTTACCAAAACCATAATACAATATATAAACTTAGAGATCCTTTTTATCTGGAGATGCTTAACTTATGCTTAATTATGTTCATACAGAATGTGATTTACTTATAACAAAAAATAAAATTGGAAATTATGAATACTTTGTTATAAATGTAGTTAAAATAGCTGAACAATAATAATTAAATCATTCATTTGCAAGAATTCCTTTATCTCAACCTAAATTTTGTGATGAAAATAAATATTTAGTTGATCAAACTGATAAAGTAGGAATTTAAAAAATAAATGCTATCAATTTTTGTGATTAACATATACCATAATCAATAGCCATAACATAAGTTTAGACTGCTGATTAAAACAATAGAAAATTTAGTATAAATAAAAATTTGATGACAATTTAATCATTTAAATAATAAAATTCTTTAGTAAATAATACTTAATAATTATTTTTTGCTGATAATAATACTTATGAATAATAAGAATAAATATTTGCTATGTCTAATAAAGTTGATGAAGAAAAAGTACGTAGAAAAAAGATTAAAAAAACAACAATTTATAGTGAAGCATATTTAGAAAATGCTTCAGTAAATAAAAAGTATTAATTAATTTAATCAATTTTGGCAGTACAATCTCCAAAATATTTATAAAAGTTTTTTTTTCTTGTTGTTTTATGGCATTCAATATTTATATTATTTATTTTTCTATTCCATATATCTATGAGATCTGATATTACTAATGTTAAATTTTTATTGGAAATGTTAACATTTCATGCTGCTATAATGGCTCCTCATGATTTATTTTTTTCAATGAGAGTAACCATTACTTAATATTAATAAATGTAAAGAGATGGTTTCATACCAAAAGATAGATTACAAGAATTAACTGATCCTTATTATTAATATATTGATCTTGGATTTTAAGAATTAAAAGATAACTTTTATGAATAATTAAATAATGAATATTTATAAGATTTCCTTAATGGTTAAAATTTTACTATGTATTTTATGTAGGATAATGAGACATAAATTTACCCTATAAATCTATCCCTTAGAGATACCTTATTTGTAATTTTATAATATTAATACTCTCAAATGATGACATTTTATTATAGAGAAAGTACTACTGGTAAACCATATTAAATTTCTTTGTTTGCTAATTATTTTCATTTACATTAATAATGTCAAAATATTACAACTACTTTATTTAATTATTCTATAGAGAATAAAAATTAGATTTATACTAAATGGTAAATTATATCAATAATTGGATTTCTTATTATACTACTACTCTACATAATAATTTAATGTTATTAGATCTATTATTTCATTCAAATTGATATGTTATTTTTATTATTAAATACTATGAGTTATGAAATGATAGAATCTGAAATTGATAAATTCATAAATTACAAGAATCAATATAAATTGGATAGACATTGTCTATAATAATATGATCCTATTGATAGATCATTTACTTATTTATCAAAACCTCTTAAATTTTAAGGGTAAAGATATCTTAAATTGCATATAGGATCTTTGAACAATTAAAAATTACTAAACTATTTAATTTTAGTATTTATGTTTATTGTTATTACTTTCTTTTTTATTCTAACTTTTATATCTTCTCATCTTTACTTAAGTAAGTACAATGATACATTATAATTCTTTGGATAAATACAAGATTTTAAATTAAGAACAGGTAGCTTATATTTATATAGGGAAATATTTTTTAGATGGAATAATTTTACATTTTTAACCAATTAAGATAAAATTTAACTTTATTCACTTATTGATTAAGCATAATAATCTATTTAAAATTATATAGAATTATCAGATATGATATAATTTGATTAATTTTTAGTAGATGATTAATTTATTTCATTGTTTCATGCCATAAGCAAAGAAAATCTATGTTAATTTATTGATGAAGTAATTTTATAATTATAATTTATAGAGATTTTAGAATCTAACTTCTAGATATTGTTATTTAGCATTTGATGGAACCTTAAGATAAGGTATGATTTCGACATTAAATTATATATCAAATTCTTTCAAAACATAATAAACTATTAATAATTTTACTAAACGTGTAGAAATCAATTATTATGAATAAGAAGGATCTTAAATAGTTACAAGAGTATTCTTTACACTTTCAAAATAATTTAGTTAAAGTGCAGACTCTTAAGCTGATTTTACAAATACAATTATCAAAGTATAATATTTAAATTATTATTATAGATTTTATCTATATGTTATTTTTGTTATATATTTTTGATTTTAGTTTTCCTTTATGGTTTTTATAGATCATATTTAGTATGGCTATTTAAATCCTTAAAAGGTATTGTGCATTTGATACCTTTTGAAGCATTAATTTTTAGTGAGACTCTAGAGATTTAATTGAAAGAATTGATTTATAGATTGCAATTACTTTGAATACAAAATATCTATATTTATAAATTTAACATTTTAATTTATCATAAAGTTTTCACTTCTGCAACACTAAAATAAGTTTTTTATTTTCTATATGCATCTTCTAAGAAAACTAACAAATCTTCTTTTTAACAATCAGCAATTCTAATGCCTTATTAAATTGGTTGCAATTTCATTCTTATATTTGGTATCTTTTTAAGCAAAAAGACTGCATCGTGAAACTTAAATAACTTTATGCATATACTTTTCCAAATTTTAATAAATATTCTAATAGTTCTTCATACTTTTATAATCTAAAGAACATATCTATTCCCAATTAGAAAGCTGGCTAATAAGGTTATAGATTTCTTTATTCAAGAGATTCTTTATTACTAATATCAATCAATAATTTTGCAAAATCTGCATTATCAGTTAAAACTTGATATTAAATTAAAAAATGTAATTGAGTATATCTATTTGTTTTAATTAATAATTTCACTAAAAGATTTTGTACTTCATGAATTGCAATCTTATAATCCTTTAATTTCTCTTAAAATTATCTAATAAATTCAATAAGAATTTCAATTAAAAACTATTTCTTCATATTTTCATCTTCAGATAAACATAAAAAAAAATGTTATCGTAAATCTTATGGATATAAAACTGTATATTCATTTAATAATTTTTCTACTTAAGTATTACCTACTTTTTCTTATAAGGATCTTAAAAATATTTCTAATATATGTTTGAATATTTATGAAAATATCTAAATTGATTTATTATTTAATGCCAATTAAATTAAGAATTAAAAAAGAGCATTTTTACAATTATTTCTTCTTAATAATACACAAAATGCATCACATTCATCTTCAAAAATTTTAGGTAAATGTTTTAAATTCAAAGTAAATTAATAAATTTATTTTTCTTTATAATTAATTATTAAATCATCTCCCTAATAATTACAACTTTATTCATCTAAAAATTAATAATAAATTTTACAAATTCTGCTTTATTCATCCTAAACTTAAATATCATTTTTTTAAAGATGTTACAATTTCAATTTTGCTACAAATTTTAGAAAATATTCATCATTCTATTTAATTTCTTCAAATAAAGTTTAAACATCATAAACAAATTAAGAATTACTAAACTATTAAATTTCTTCATTTTATTAAATATTTTAATTCTGAATATATTTTTATTTATCTTATTTATCAGATTCATCTAAATTTTATTTTTATAAAGATATATCTACTTCTTATTTCATTATATCACATTTTTCATCAATTTCTTATTATTTTTCTTTTACTATAGATGTTTATTATTATTCTTATACTTAATCATTATTTTTAATATCATCTAAATTTTTATTCGAATTTTTGTTAGCTGAATCTATTGTTTAACTCTATTTAATGACTTAATATTATTATATTCCCTACTTCTTTTCTATTTTGTTATATATTATTTCTTATTATTATAAAATACATTAGGGTGACTCAAGTGGTTATTCAGGCTTTTTTTTATTTTATACATCAAATACAATTGAGACTTTTTCATTAAAGGTAGATAAGACTATAAGATTATCAATAACTGAAAGATTAATCTAAGATCTAATAAAAATTAATTACTGCAATATCAGAAGGAAATTCCAATAGATATTTTTTTTTAGTAATTTTCTCATATTGTATTTAATAGAATATCAATTTACCAGTAAATGAATTAGAATAAGCTAAGAGGGATTTTCCATATATGTAAATTAAATAAACTCTATAAATTGACTCACATTATTAATCATCTTAACATAAATCTTTGTTTTTCTTATCTGTAGGAGCTATAAATTATTAAATATCTGATTTTTTTGATTTAAATAATGAAGCAAATGTTGATGTTCCTTCTTTTGGTTCAAAATCTTCTAGATAAAAATCTTATCCTTTAAATTTGAAATCCTTTCTCTTTTCCTTAAAAAAATAAGTAGATATTAATCCATTATGATGTGTACTACAAGTTGCCAATACTTCATTTTTTGGTTCATACCAACACCAACTAATTTTTTGTTAAAAAAACTTGACTTTTCTTACTTAATCATCTATTTTAAGTAAATGTATTCCATGATTTTCTACCACTAATATGTCATACATTCCCAAACAACCTTTGGCCCATTCAAATTATATAATTTATGAATTCTTTTCTGTTTGAACTGTGTAAAAGAATTGCCTATTTGCTTTTGTTGAAAACAGGGACTAAGCAATTCTTGAGAACAAATTACCAATTAATTTTCAGATGTTTAATATGCAACATATGTTAAATCTTATTAGGCATTCATACTGTAGATCATTCCAATATATGGAATCTTTATTCGATTAACTGTTTGGAGTTGATGTTTGGAAATAATAAATATTTGATTTAATTCTCTGAAGATGAAAATTTCATTTCCTCTATCATAAAATAACTAAGACAATATAAGGGGAAGGTTTACTTATGATTCTGGTCTCAGACTATTCCAAAATTCATTCAAAAAGCTTATTTGAATGTATTATATGAATTTGGCTAAAGACATTAAAATATAATATAAAATATTTATAAAGAAAAAGTAAATTATAATAGTTTGTTGATTATTATTAATTGAATCGTTCCATAATTTGAGAAATTATTTAATCATAAATGGGGTAATGTTCATGTCAAGAATAAATTCCTGTTATTAGTGAGGTTCCTCCTATAAATTTGTTTCAGAAACCAATAATGATTACAGAAGAATAGATTAATGGAAATTAGGCGACCCATCCTTTGGAGGTGGACAAAGCATTTTCTCAAGCTAAAACTAAATAAATGGAAGATTCTGAAGAGCTAGAATTCCATAGACCTAATAAGACAGAAGCTTGGGAAACAACTAAATTATTTGAAACAATTTCTGAAAAAGTTAGAGTAAAAAATGTTTAGCTTAAACATTATAGGAATTATAGAACTAATTACCACCTTTAGAACTAGAAGATAGAGAAGGGTATTTTTATGGAGTTTATGAGCTCAAAAATGGATCCTTATATCAAGGCACTTGGATTGAAGGCTTAAAAGAAGGAAAAGGTAGTAATAGCTAATAAATTTAGGTGCATAGATTATGAAGAATGGAGCATTATATGAAGGTTATTTCGTTAAAGGAAAATCTAATGGTAAAGGTAGAATGTTGTATCCCGATGGAGATTATTATGAAGGTGAATGGTTAGATGATTAACGTAATAAATTTCTCAAATTTTAGTTCATGGATATGGGGAGTACTATCATTTCGATGGAACCAAGTATAAAGGAAATTGGATAAAGGATAAATAGAATGGATATGGGGAGGAGTATTTTAAAGATTCTTCAAACTTTAAAGGATAATTTTAGAATGGTAAAAAATTCGGAGAAGGAATATTTACATTTCCAGATGGTTCATAATATGAAGGTCAATTTAAAAATAATTATTTTTCAGGCAAGGGGTATATATATTAATGTATTATTTACAGTAAATACACTTGGCCTAATACTAAATAATATATTGGTTTATGGGAATCAAGTAAAATGAATGGATAAGGTATAATGATTTGGTAAGATGGAACTCGATATGAAGGATCATATTTAGATGATAAAAAACATGGATTCGGAACTATTACATGGCGTATCTTAATATGTTTATTAATATTTAGCTGATTCTCGATGCTATTCAGGTTAGTGGTAAAATGGTAAAATGCATGGAATAGGACAATATACTAGTTCGACTGGATAAACAAGGAAAGGAGAATGGTCTAATGGGAAAAGGCTTAAATGGATTTGATTATATTATTAAACTAAATATCTGAAAAACATATTAATTGATTTCATATGTGTTATTGACTTAAAATTAAATTTTAATTCTAAATTTTTAAATCTCCATAAATTACAAGATACATATTTATATAATCAATTGTTAGTTCTTTATTTCTATAATTTTAAAAATTTGTTTGGATAATCAGTTACATGTATAGTGTTTGATCTTTATTTAATTTGTAGAGATGGTTTTTTTTAATAGATATTACAAATCATTTACATTCTATCATTATTTTGAGTTTATGAAATTCTAAATCTATAAGATTAATAATAAATAATTACTTTTATGATTCTAAAGATCTTTTTTTAGAATTTTTAAATGGAATTTCATTAATTAATGATTTCTATTAAGAAATTAAAGTTATAAGTCTCTCTTAACTAGTATCTGTTAATACTCTCTCATTTTTATTTGCTCTTATTTGTTATTTTAAACTAATATTTTCTTTAGAAATAGACTTATATTTAATATATGTACTATAATTTAAGAATTTAAAGTATCTATCTATTTTTAAAATTCTTCAGTATTCTCTAATAAACTTTCAGCATACAGTTTTAATTATTATTCAATTTAAATATGTCTTCTTGTTTCAGCTTCTTTTTAAATTAATTGTTATTCTAAATTTTAATATTAATTTAATAATTCTTCATGTTCAATAGTCAATTAATCCATATAATGACAAATTATTTTGAAACAAACAGTGGCCTCTTCAACTTTATAAAATTAGCTATTGATTTCTTTCTTGTCATCTTAAGGATTAATTTTTTAATAATAGTTAATTATCTTAATTTAAAATTTAGTATACATTTTCAACAAGTTCAAAAGTAAGTTAGCATTCATCTGAATTTCTAATTGTTTACGACATCAAAATTTAATAATTATAATAATTAATTAATAACATTTTCAAGATAAACATCTTGTTAATAAGTTAAAAAAAATGCAAAATATATAATATTAATTTTATAAGTATCTATATATCACAAATTCAATTTCATTGATTATGAGTAATATCTTTAATAATTTCTACTCTATTAATTTTATTTCCAACACACAAACTTTGATTTCTTCTATGATTCATTTATTTTTATGTAAAATTATTGAAACTAATACAATTCAATCCATCAATAGCATTCATAGATCTATCACATATAATTAATTAAGCAATCCCTTATTTATAAATATTCTTATCAAAAAACAATTTAAATTTTTGCATTGTTGGATATTCAATCATAGGACTTGTTATTTTAGTAGTTCTGAGTGGAGTTTTTGAAGTTTTTTATCTTACTTCTATCATTCTTGGTATTGTCTTAATTCTCTAAGTTTATTATGAATATGATTTTCTTGTTTTCTCTTAACTAATACTTGTCTAAACACTCTAATCTGTTGTTAATTTCTATGATTTCTCAAAAGTTTAATTTTCATCATCCCAACCTACTATCTCTTATTCATTAAAATTGATTTTACTATGATGATGTTACTTCACTTTGATAATTAAAATTCTTACATAAATCAATTCTTTATTAATTATCAAATAATGTTTGATAGGAACTTAGTGCTTCTAAATTTTATTAAGCTATATTTTCAACTCGTTTTCTAATGGGTGATTGATTAAGTGTTGATTTCCCAATTTTGTTTATCTGTAATAATTTCAATTCTTTACAATTTTTCTTGTAGCTCTTTATTAGTGTATACGATGAAATTAGTTCTCCTTATTAGAAATAACTGACTTTTTCATTTGCAAGCAAAATATTTAATAATATATTTATAATTCACTTAGTCGTTAATATTTAATGTATATATGAATTCTATTCAAAAAATCTATTAACTCCATATTCAATCAATTTATATATGATTAATAATGAATTCATTTAACTAATTTCAATATTTTTTTAATTAAAGAAGATATTCAAGAAGTACTTTTGATATAATCAATAATAGACTTTATATCAAAATTGTAATATATTAGTAACAATTACAAAAAAGACTAGAGTAATGATTTATTTAAATATTAAAATATTATTAAAATTAAAATTATTTTTCTAAAATACACAATAAATAATCAATATTTAGGATGTATCAAAAATCTATGGAGTGTTTATATAATAATTAAGATAGAAATTTAATTAATTTTCAAAAGATTGACATTAAAATTTGCAGTAATAATTAAAACAATAGTAAAAATTAAAGATCAAATTGTGAATGAGTTAAAATTAATAAAAGATAATTATTTTTTAGATTAAACTATAATAGGTGTAACATAAAGCAAAATCTGAAATTCATAAATTTCTAAAAAGAAAAAGAAGATAAATCAAGTAAAATATTGATAAATATATTTTTAATGAAATATTTAAAATTAAATTATTTATTTAAGATATTCATCTGAAGATTTAAAATCTAGAGTGATTTCTTTTAGTAAATAATATATATATTAATCCATAATGTTATTGAATATCTATAATAATTTATTGAATGTATTTGATTGCAAAAAAAAAATGTTAAATAAATTCTTAAATTGGATATGTATTTATTTGATTTTATGTATTATTGTATCAAAAACCAAGAATGTAATCTAATATTTGTTAAATCAGTAATTTCAAATCTTAAAATAAGTATTTATAAGAGATGGATAATCAAAAAAATAAATTATAAAATAATATTTGATGACAATATCATAAGTTCATTTCTAACATTTCTCTCTTGAGCTTTTCAATGACTTTTTCTACTAATTAGACTAAGGTTTCTTCAGTTTTTTCTCTTTCAGTTCTAGTTTTTTTGAGTTACTCTTAGATTCTTCCAGAGATTTCTCTCAAACTTTCCACAATTTCCTCTTCTTTAGCTTCTCTTTCTTTCTTTTCTCTAAATTGATTAATTATAATTTATACCTTTCAAATAATTCTCTTAAATCATTTAATTATTCTACAAATTAGTGATATATTTTTTCTTCAACGTCTTTTCTTTCTGTTATCTCATTTTATAATTCATCAGCTATTTTTGGTAAATCTTCATTCAAATAAGAATCAATATATTCATGAGATGTAGATTAAGCCTAAAATATTAATAAAATAATATACTAATCCTTCTTTTACAACTTCTTATTATAAGCTTTCTATTTATTATCCTATAGTATAAACTATCTTTTTTTCTTGTTCAACTCTGTCTTTAGAATTCTATTCAATCAATCTTCTAGCATGTCTTTCAAGATCTGTTATCAATTTAAAGGTTTCACTTTCTTATCTTTCACGACTAAAATAATTAATAAATAATTATTACTCTTCTTGTTCTTATTCTAAAAATTCTGTCAATTATCTAACTTTCTAGGCAATATAAGCAAATTTCTCTTCTTTTTAATCAGATTAATGTTATAATTGAGCTTCAAATGCCATGATTAATTGACTGATAGAATGGAATCGATTATTTTTTCTATGAAATATAAAAAAACTAATTACTCATCCTGAACACTTGTTGAAATGTTATTAAGCTTTTCGAAAATTGATGAAACCCTATTCTAGATATTTTCTGACATGTTTTTGCTTAAAATTATTAATAATTTTTATTTCTGTGTATTTTTATATAAATATCAAATAAAATATCATTTTATTTCTAGTGTTTCTCTAAATTAAATATATTTGATAAAAAAATACATCTTTAATCTAATTTTCAAATTATCAAATAAAAAAGGGTACTATTCTCTTTATTATTTCTTTATTATAATTATTCTAAACCTCATAATTCATAATTTAATAAAAATATTTAATTATTGTTGAAAAAATGAAAATTAATTAAAAAGAAAGGATTAAAAATAAAAATAAAGAACTTTCATTTAAATAGTGAAGTATAAGGATTTTTATAAAACCACTCTTATATTTATAATTTCAATATCTATAATAAAAATGGTTATATATATATAAAACTATTTGTTTTTTGAATAAAATATAAATTATTCTAAATGAGATCGTAACTTAATTTTGAATTGAATTATTAATATGCTATAAATAAATAATCTCACTCGAAATTATTAAAATTCAAATTTATTATTTAGAGAATAATGAAAAAATAAAAAGAATAAAACTTCTTGAGAAAATACATACAAACAAACCTAAGATTATTAATAGTTATACATTAAAAGTAGTATATTATGTATTAGACACTTAAATATGCTTTTTTTATTTTAGGATAATTGCAGAGTGCATTTTTTTATATATATCCCTGTTATAATGCCTCCTTTAAGATATATAATTAATTTATATTAATATACTTAATAAGACCAGATTTAATTTGGATTGATAATTAGATGATTGGTATAGAAAATAAATAATTGTTTTTACTACCATTAATTTGTTGGTTGTTTTTCGATATTTTAGTTTTATAGGGATAAGTTATTTATTAAATAATCAATAAGAAATACAATGACAATCAAAGCAGTTAAATTGTAATTTCTGGGTCTTTTTAAAATATGGTAATAAATTTTAAATCAATATATTCTCAAATATTTATCATTTACCTTTATATTCCAGCTTAAATCTTATCATTTACATCATTTGGAGTTTCTGAAGGTATCATAAATATTGATATCTCAATTTTAAGTATAATTACTGTTATAATTACCCTACTTAACCAAATGATTAAACTGTATGTAAGTAATACTTGTTTAGATTTAACAATTAAAGGATATGAAAGGTTATACTTTACAAAATTTGATTTTTTTAGAGAATTATTTATTCTGATATAATTAATACTTTTTGGAATCTTAACTGATTTTTAGAGAGCATAAATAATATAAGGAATTTTAACATTATTAATAAGTTTAACTTATATTTCTAATGTAATAATAGATAAATCTATCATTATTGAAAGTTTTACATAGATTATTTTGATAATTCATATAAGTTTAATATCAATAATAACTGCATCACTATTTAATCATTGGCAATTAGGATTAATTTTAATTCCATTAGGTATATCTATTAGTTGTACTTATCGTTCTAGAGTAATAATGGATTTATATCAAAGTATAAGAATAGAAAAGAATGTTTAAAAAATAATACATTATATATCATATTAAATAAATAATAAATCAAGAAATTTGGAAAAAATAGATTAAGTTTCATAAGCTATATTATTATATCAACATAAACAAAAATGTAATGATTACAATTGTCATTGTAATTTCACAGGGGATTATACTGATAATCCAAAGAATGTTCTATTTTTATCTTAAAAATTATAGAAGAAATTTATAATCTAAAAGATTAAACATTGGAATAAAGAATTGAATTAAAAGAGAGATTTATTATCTAATAATACTTGTGTATTTTATATAAGTGCATTAAATCATTTTGGATTCACTACTTTAGCTTTTTAAGAATGTAATCGTTTATTATCATTATCTGTGCATTAAAATAGGGGATTTTTGAGTCATAGTGATGCAAATTCATTATCATAAAGTCATTAATAGAGCATTCCATCCTAATCTTCTGAATCTTAGAATAAAGCTAATCAAGCTAAATTGTAAGAGATAAATGCTAAATCTATTGAAAAATAATAAAAAATAAAATTAAATGTTAGAAATAATATTTTAGATTTACTTTCTTAAATAAAATTGAAAATTATTAGTAAAGATATAAGATTAGAATTATAGAATAATTTCTTAAAACAATAAACAAAATAATAAGAAGAAATAGCTGAAGCAATAGAATTGTATTTATAAAGTGAATAATAAAATTAGATTGTTAAACATAAGATCTTAAAATGTTTATAATAAAAATTCTAATTTTATAATATGATACTTAATAAAAAGGGATTAAGATCTCAATAATTATTTGATAATGCAAAAATAATATCAGATTTATTTTATTAATTAGAGAAAGAACTTTTATATTAATATTCACAATTCCCAAGTCAAAAGATTTAATCTATTAATTGTTTCTTTTAATCTGAAATCCTTAATAATTATTTATCAGCATTTAAATTATCAAATTTTAGTACAATTGCTGATGATAAATTAATTAATATGAAAAAGAATTTAAAAATTAATTTATTTGGTAAAAATGTAGTTCATATGATATTATATTTATCAGATAATTTATAAACATTAATGATATCATAATTTAGTAATAATACTCATTAATTTTTATCATAAACTTATGATGAATTTATAAAATAAAATAAGAATATTGATTTATTATTACCTTTTGCAATAAGAAATGAACATTATATGTTAGTATAAAGATTTATGAATGATGGAAAATGTAAATACTTTAGAAATATTGATATTAGTTTTCTAGAATTACAAAATGGATTTTTAAAACCTTTCAATTTAATTATTGATATAGTATTAAATTAAACAGAACATTTATCATTTGCAGCATTTTTTGAAGAAGTTTCTCTTGGTAATAGTTTCATTTTGGTTGATGTAAATGGTGTATGTGGAGGTATAACAGCCAATCTATTAGAAAGATCAGGTTGGAAGGCTTCAGAAATCAAAGAAAATTCAAAATTAATTAATACTATATATTAAGTCAATATCAATTCTATAATACCTGATTTTCATGAATTAAAAATATCTTCTAAAGACAATAAATTTTATAATGTGCAAATTAAATTATTGAATAAAAAATTATTAATTGGATAAGAATCTCGTACTATTTTATCTTTTCATGATATTTGGAAACATCTTGAAAATTAAACAGTATATAGAGGAACTATAATTATTTCAAGTAGAGAATTATATGGATATTATTATCATATTATTGAAATAGAGGATTTAAGATAAAATTAAACATTAACTCATTTGTCTAATTCTGATGGAAAAGGAATGACAACATAATTAAATGATTTAGATAATACAAATTAAATTGAAGTAAGTGATTTAGAAGTATCTTAAACAGAAGCAGAAATTAATAAACCATAATCTTTAAATATTTTTTAACAATCATTATCTGAAATTTAATAGGATTTTTAAAATAATTCATTTTAAAATAATTAAATACATGTAGAGTTTGCTTAACATTTAGTAATTAATAAATAATAATTTGCTGATAATATAATTAAATTAAATTAAACATTCAATGAATAATCATTTGATAATCATAAAAATATAGATAATAATAGTAATGCTGTAGATATTACTCCAAATTAAAGTATTCGTAAACTGATTGATACAAGTAAATCTTTTGGATAATAAAAGTTCTTTAATTAAGAAATTCAGGAATTAGATTAATCTAATAGTAAAATAAGTGAAGGGTTTTAAAATTAGATGAAGGATGTAAATCAATTATATGATGTAGATTTAAATAAAATTGATAAAGAAATGAGAGAGAATATTAAAATGTAATTATAATTAGAAATTGATTAAAAAAATTAACCTAATTAATAAGTTGATGATGCTGCTTCTTAGGTATCATCTTTAATAGGTTTAAAGAAATCTTTATTCTATAAAAAGTATGAATTAATAAATGGAATAATTGATAACACATATAAACCTATCTCTTATAAATTATGTCATATTTTATTCTTTATTTAATTGATTTTAATTTCAACTTATAGTATAATTATTTTATAGAATTTGAACACTGATTTTAATAGATTCATTTAAGAAGTTGATATGCTTTTGTTTAGTTATAGTTTTATGACTCCTTTTGATATATTTTTAGCTTTAAGATTTTCCACTGTTTACTATTAAGTATAAGTTCCATCTAGAATGACTGCAGCTGAAAATACTGTATTATCTGCTTGGTTATCAAATCATTTGGGAGAAGGATATGATGATATGAAGAATAATTTTTTAGAATAATTTTCTAATCCATAAATATTAGATTTTTTTACTGATTAAGATTTTGATGTTTAATTTATGAAAGAAAATTCAACTTCAATGGAAGTAAAGACACTTTCATTCAGAGAAACTTTAAATGTTTTATTGTAATATTAATATCAATTTAAAATTGCATATTTAAAAAAGACATCTTTAACAAATTAACCATTTTCTACATATCCATATTTTAATTATTTAGATTTACATGATAAATTTGATAATATGACTAATGATATTTTAGATTATACTAAAGAACGAAAATAAATTGTTTAAGATAATTGGTAATCTATATGGATTCCATTTTTAGTATTGGATGCATTATTTATGATAGCTACATATTATTATTATAAATAATATCTATCAATTTATGAAAGTTTTTTAAATCTATTTAAATTTACTGATGAAATTTGGTTAAATAGAGATATGGAAAGGTATAAAATATTAATTAATATTTTAACCAAAAATTCAGATGTTATATTCAAATATCAATTTGATTTAGAACAAAAGGAGAAATTTATGATGGCTGAAAAATACAAAAAAGAATCTAAAATAATACATGATTTAAAAAAGAAAAAAAATTATTAAAATTATGATAAACTTTCAACAATTTATGGACTTGTTGGAATATCATTTGTATTTTCAGTATTCTTTATACCTGCATTATTAATTTAATTATAAACTAATAGTTATTTATCAAAGTATGTGAATACAGCAGATTTTTATAAATTTACAGGAGATCTTTGTTTTTAATTACCAGGCATGTTTTCATAAAGACAATTCTTATATTGGTGGTCATTATATAATTTAGATATTAATGATAAACCAAGAATGATAACTAGATTATTTAATGGTATTGATAATTTAAAATAATTTGATGAACATGTACAAAAATTTAATTAGGAAGAGTATTTAACTACCTAAAGTTTCATTGATAAATTAAATTTGCTTGTAAAGAGTCCAGTGTGTAAATTTTTTACTGGTGATTAATATAATGATTATGCTTTTTATTGTTCTAGATCTTTTGATGGAGCTTTAGATATGGGTCTGAGTTAAGCATTGATGTATGCAGCAAATTAATATAAAGTAACATTTGATTTGAATAACTTTACTTCGATTGTACAATATTTTAAATATGAAGCTGAAGGTATGTATATTATGGTTAAAGGTATGATTGAATTAGTATCTTCTTTAAAGGAGGCTCTACTTTAAGCTACTAATTCTCATATGGATTAAATTATTGGTTTAAGTATTTTTCTGTTGATTTTTCAATTCTTCCTATTTTTCCTTTAGTATTTTATACTACATAAATATTATACAGAGGAATATAATTTGGTGAAAAGGTATATGTTATTATTACCATCTTCAACATTATTATTGGATGATAATTTTGAAAGAAACATTAGAATATTCTATGCTTAATATTAAAATTGAATGATGTGTTATTTATATATAATATTAATAATGTTAAAGTTTTATTGTTTTTTCAGCATAGCCATTACCTTAGGAGCAATTTACAATTCTTTTAATGTACATAAGCAAGTTTATCCATCAGTGTTATATTTGAGCACAAATAAAATAAATAGAACAATATTAGTGAATTTTGCTATAATGATTGTTTCCACATTGATAATGATATTTTTAAAAATAATGTTTGGGGAATTAAAGGAAATAGAAAAAATTGTATTAATTTATATTTAATATATAATAGGCTGTTATAGATAAAACAAAGAGGAAAATATTAGAAGTAGCTTATTTATTATTCTTTTTTTATTAATCATTAGATTGGTAATTTATATGTAAAAAAAATAAAATAAATATTTTAGTTTTAATGCTTTGGTTAATAGCATTATCAATAATTCATTGGATATCTATAAAAAGAGCTGGGTTTTTGATTGCAGAATCTTAAATAAAGTTTAGTGACAATATAAAATTATTGGTAACATTTATAGTACTATTTTATATTGATATAAAAGTAATAAATTAAAAATATTTTAGTTAGATAAGTCTCTATTTTTTTTATGGAACAGAAGAGAAATTTTAAAATATGTTATTTGGTTTTGAATTTATGCTTTTGCCAATTAGAATTGCTTTACCATTTATAAAATATGTAATCAATTTATTTGAAATTTAAACTCTTTCATAATTTGATTCTAAACAAATTATATTTTCTGGATTAGAAGTTTTATCAACAATTTTAAAATTATGGGTTTAAATTATGTTATTTTAATATGTTTTAAATACTTAAGGATTTTTATTGATTTTATTTGTTGATACTTTTGAAAATGCATTTGCTATGTTTAAAAAATTAAAAGCATTTTATAATTAAGTTAAACTAGTTAGAATGATAGAAAAGATTTAAGATGTAGAAAAAATAGAATCTCATGATTCAACATGTTTAATTTGTCTTAATGAATTAGAAAATGGTAAATAATTATCATGTGGTCATATTTATCATAAAAGTTGTTTAAAAACTTGGATTTCAGGTAATTCCAATCAATTTTGTCCTAAATGCAAATAGGCAATCAAATTAGATGATACTACTTAAGTATCTTTAAATGATAATTAAACTTAAAAATTGAAAAAATAAATATTATTATAAGAATTAAGGGAAATTAAAAGCAATATATAACTTTTACAGATTTTAAATTAATGTCGAAATATTTAAAATAATGTATAGAATACTTAAGGTATTGGAAGTGTTTAGTATTCATTACCATGTGAAGCTTTACAATATTCTTCTGGAGTAACTGAAATCAAAAGACTCTAAATTAATTATATGAATAAAATTATAAGAGGTATAGAGAAAGGTATTATTGAAAATCATTTATTACCAAAATGAAAACATTAGAATTTAGTTTTATTTTCATCTAAAAATCAATCAATATAAAAATAATCAATATTTAATTATTTTTTAATAATGAATTAGTTGTTATTGAAATGAAAAATAAATAAATTGGCAATAAAAACATATTTATATTAATGATTTCATTTTTTAAAATAATAAAAGCTTTCTGGACACACAATACCTTCTAAAAAACGAGTAATGTATTTTAGATGAGTAAGTTTTGTTGATTCTGATCTCATTTATGAATGCATTACATAAGAATATGCATGTTTTGAATAAAACTCAAATGATAATTCTGAAAATATTTTTTTGTAAATATCTCCATCAACAGTCCAGATTCTTTTAAATTGTTCAAAATTCTCTAATTTTTAATTTGTAACCCATTTTTTAAAATGAGTGACATTATTTTCAGGAATGTATTATATTATTATTTGTAAGGCTTACTCATTATGTAATATGAATCTATTAAGAGCATTTCCAAAATTTCTTAAGAGATTTTTTGTATCTTCTTTTTTTTGATTTTCTTCTTTTGCCTTCTCAACCAATTATTAAAACACTGTTAATGGTAAAGTAATTAATTGATCTTCTATTTTAATTTTCTTACTAATATTGAGTTCTTCTTTTGTGTATTTGTATGGTCGAAAATCGGATATTTTATTCATCATTTGAGTTGAATATCCTTTAACTCAATTTTAATTCGATTCTTAATAAATATAATTTATTTGTATAATTATAAGGATATCTTAATGCAGCAGTATTTTAATAATGATAATCAAGTTAATTTGCATGTCCTTGTACATATTGTAAGGCAAAAAAAGACAATCCATAACAATCATCTCATGATTGTTATTAGGTAGATAGAGAAAATGAGGCTTTAAAATAAGAGATCTTATAATTATAGAGTTAACTTCATTATTTGAATTAAAAAGGTATTGTAATAATCAATCAATTTTAAAGTGCCTGAATTTCAACAAATATTCAAGGATAATTAGCAAATGAAAAAGGCTTTGGATTAAATGAATTAATCAGTTAAAGAATATGAAGAGGAAATCTAGAGATAAAAACAAGTAATTGATCGTTTGAACCTTGATTTGGATAAAGCAAAAAGAGATAATGAATAGTTGTTATAAGGATTCAATGATATTAAATAAAGAGGTTTGTCATAAGAATAGAATTTATTATAAGATAATTAGAGAATGAAATATACAATTGATGGACTTAATAATGATTTGAGAAATTTATAATAAGAGGTTCATAGATTGCGATCACTTAATGAAAAATAAAAATATATTTAAGATGAATCATATCATTATCAATAAGAAAACTAATAATATTTAACTAGAATTAGATAAATGGAGATATAGATTAGAGATTTGATATAAAAAGAGGAAAGTTATTTACTATAGATTAATAAAGCAAATTAAGGGAATAATACTGAGAATCTATTATTGAAAGAATAGAATGTTTAGTTATAACAATAATTATAATAATTATAAAGATAATATCAAAAATAATTGGAAGATATGAATTAAGAACGTGATAGAATAGTTTCAGATTAGAGAAATACAATAAACATTTAAATTAAAGATTAATTATTAAGAGAATAATAAAAATGGTAGAATGAAAGAGATGCATTATTATAAGAGATTTAATTACTTAAATAATAATTTGGTTAGAATGAATAATAAATATAAAGAAAAAGATAATAATTAGAAGAAGAAGTAAATAGAAATCAATAATATTTAATTGAATTAGAATAAGGAAATAGTTAATTATAAAATAAGTGTAGAGAATTACAAAATTAAATTTCCTTATTTGAAAAGGATAAACATCGTACAGATTAATATATTAGAAGAATTGATGAATTATAATCATAATTAGATTAATTATAGAGACAAATGTATGAATTAACTAATAAGTATAATAATTTATTATAATAATATGAATAAAAGAAACATTAAATTGAATAATTAAATAATCAATTAAATATGGTTTAAGATCATGATAAATAGAAAATTATTAATTTGGAAAAGTAGATTAGAGAACTATAAGATCAATTAGCAGATACACAGAGATTAAGATAATAATTACATTAAATGAATGAGAATTATTCTGCATTGCAATTAACTTTTAAGACTTCTTAAAAGTAATTATAGGATTTTGATGAAGTGAATTAAGAATTAATATAATTATAAAGGGAAGTAGAATATTACAAATAATAAGATATAAAAAATAAATAAGATTTGGATCAATATAAATCATCATTATTAATGATAGAAAATAAATAAAATTAATAAGGAAATTAAGAATTAGATAAACTTAGATATTAAAATTAACAATTAAGTGATGAAATCAATAATTTAATAAATACAAATAAATAATTAACAATTAAAGTTTAATAATTATAGAATGATTTATAATCATAATAAACATTATCAGAAAGATAAAATTATGCTTTAAATGAAAGTAATTAATTGAAAGCTAAAATTAAAGAACTTTTGGATTAAATTTAATATTTATAGATTGAAATTAATAAAAAGGATAAAATAATATAAGAATTATAAATTAAACTTGATTAATAAAATAAAAGAAATGATTTACTAATCATTATGGAAAAGGAAAGAAAGGATTTTGAATATAGAATTATTTAATTAGAAAAATAATTGGCTGATTCAAATATTTACAAATCATAATTTATAGAATTGTAAGGCAAATATGAAAATATAAGAAAAGATTATGAGTTATTAAGGATTAAATATGAAGAAATTAATAATAATTAATAAAAGATATAATGGTTAGAAAAATAATTAACAGAAGTAAGTATATATAAAACTTAATATTTGGAATTGGAGACTAAAAATAATAATTTAATTTAAGAATATGATAGATTAAAGAAAGAATATGAATAATTAAGATTTAAATTTGATGAAGCTAATTATTAATTCAAAATAAGTTAATTAGAAAAGTAATTATAAGAAGCAAATATGTATAAAATACAATATGTAGAATTATAAAATAAATATACTATAATAACACAAGAAAGTGAAAAAATTAAAAAAGATTATGAATAATTAAGATATAAATTTGAAGAAGTAAATAATTAATTGATTATATCTAAAAAACAAATAACAATTTAATTCAATACGGAAATTGATGCACTCAAATCAGAAATGTAGACTTGGATTTTGAAATGTAAAACCTATGAAAACGAAATCAATTTTCTAAGATCTACTATAACAGATTATTAAGAAAATGAAAATGAAAACTCTTTAATAAAATAAGAATTAGAAAGATGGTAAATAAAGTGTACAGAATAAGAAAGAGAAAAATAATAATTAAGATAAAATTTGTAGGATTTAGAAAAACTTAAATATAGAATAAATGATTTAGAGAAAGATAATTAATCTTATTAATTTAAAATAGTTAGATTAGAAAAAGAAGCTGATACTACTCGTTAATAGATATTAATGTTAGAATAATAGAGAAGTTAATATGATCTCATTAAAAAAGATTATGATACTTTATAATTAAGACTAAAAGAGTAAGATAGGGATAAATCTCAATTAAGAAATGAAATTGATCAACTTAGACAACAATTACAATAGTTAAAATAACAATCATAAATGTTAGAATAGGAAAGGAATTAATCTCTTATGAAATTTGAAGAATCTGATAGAGAGAGATAAGGATTAAAATAATAGATTATGATTTTGAATAATACAAAGTTAGAATTTGAAAATATAAGAAGAGAATATGAAATCTTTAAATAAAAGTATGAGCAATAGGAAAGAGAAACAAATAATTTAAGATAATAATTGTAAATACTAAATACTTAAAAAGGAGATTTTGAAAGAATAAAAGTTGAATATTCTTAATTAAGAATGAATTTAGAGGAACAAGATAGGGAACGAATATCCTTAAGATCTTAATTATAATTAGCTTCTAATTAAAAAAATGAAATGGAAAAATTTAGATAGGAATATGATATTCTCAGAATTAGATTAGAGGAGTCTGAAAAAGAAAAAAATTAAGTAAAAGGACAATTACAAAGTTATATAATAAATATTAATACTTATAAGGAGTAAATAGAAAAATTAAATATTAAACTTAGTTAATTCTAATAGGACTAGGGATCATTTTAATAATAGGAAATAATGATGAAAAGAGAAATAGAAATGCTTATATAACAGATTGATATTTTCAAAAAGGATTAATAGACTAAGTAATAATAAATATAAGAGTTTTAATTCAAATATTAAGAGATTTTAAGAGAATATGAAATTTTATAAAGTAAATAAGTAAATGTTGATGTTGATGCATTAATGTATGAGATATTTGAACTTAAGAAACAATTAGCATAAAAAGAGAAGCAATATGAAATTGAGAGATAGGAGTTTATAGAGTAGAAATTTCAATTAGAGAAAAATATAAAAATAAGAGTGGAGTAAGAATTAAGATAGATGAATGAAAAGTATATTATTGAAATTGAAGAGTTGAAAAAATAAATTTATATAGAAAAGTAATAAAAATTATAGATAGAAACTGAATTGCGTCTTAAATATGAATAACAAATTTTAATTTTATAGAAATAAATAAAACCTGTAATTGATGTAGATGCTTTGATGTATGATATATTTGAATTGAAGAAATAAGTTATCACAAAAGATCAACAATTAGAATAGTTGAAAAAAGAACAGTATTAAATAAGATTATAGATTGAATAATAATTCAATTAATAAAGATTAAAATTTGAATAAGAATTAAAATTGAAATTGGAAAGGGAATTAAGAATATCAATAGAGAATGAAATTAGATATTAGATTGAAAATGAATATAAATTTGATTAAAATATTTAGGATTATATTTTATAGATTGAGAAATGGAAGTCTGTTTGTTAAATGAGGGATGAAGAGATTGATCATATGAGGGGTTTATAATAAGCTCTGAAGGATAAACTTAATTAATACACTTAAGAGATAGAATCTTTGAAGACTTAATTGGCAATGAATTAGGGAGATAGAAGAAAGGGATATTAAATAAAATGATATATTTATAATAATTTTTATAAAGGAAAATATTAGAAAGAATTTTGAATATCTAAAAAAGCATATATTAAATTTAAATATAAATAAAATGATTGAGATTGTAGAAAAGGGTGTAACAAATTTAGAATTGAGCAAACATTTAATTAAGAGACTAAATTATACATAATGGAAAAGAATTAACAGGTTTGAATTTGCACAGATATTTTGAAAAATATTGATTATATACTTTATACTATAACACGTCAGGCTAATGTTTATTTTAGGTAAAAACTCTCAACCTACGATTTGAAACATCTAAATACACATGAAAAAGAGTTTCGCGTAGTCTGGTCTCCAAGTTAGCCACCATCACCATCTAAGGCAATGTGTGAGTTTTCGTCTGGTGATTCTAGTCCTTGTGATGATGATCAATATTAAGCTAAAATAGAATTCATAGGTACAAAATTATCAATTCGTGATATATGTAATTCTGTTCTTAATTCTAATTGCTATGAAATTCGAATTGTAGAACCCACAAAAACAGGAAAATATGAAAAGTTTAAAATTTTTAATTAAATCTTAGAATCCCTTAGGAGTGGCAAAACTAAAAAGAAATAATTCTCTTTTATTATGATTCTTCACTTGAAGCATGTTAAGATAAGCATTCTATTAAAAAGTATTTAAAGGAAAAGTAAAATTTATTTATATTATTAAAATTAATTATAGATTCAAAGATTATCATTTTATTAATTTTGAAGAAGTTTAAAAAGTATATTTGGCAGGAGAATAAGCATATGTTATAAAAATAAATGAAGATAAATCAGCTTAATTTTTTTATTATAATATGAATAAAAATTAACCAAAATATAAGAAATATCTAGGTGAGAATTTTCAAGTAATAAATTAATATTTAATATTAAAAAGGTTGGAATTTTAAGAAAAATAAGAGATATTAAAATTTAATTTAAAATTATTCTTAGATTTTTACCTATTTAATTTTATAAAGAGAAAATTGAGAGTATAATTTATGAAAGAAGAAATGATAAAAATTAAATAGATATTCGATCATTAAGAGTAGAAGAACTATTTGAATGTATAAATCATAAATCTAATATAGTTGAAGGATGTAAATATGGAGTGATTTATTGTGATGATTTAAAATAATCTTAAGGTTTAATTGAAATTTTTAATAAGTAAAAATAATAATTTTTATAGTTAGATACTTTTTTGAAAGAAAATTATCATAACCAGAAATTATATTAGTTAATGAGGATGGTAAGAAAGTTCCTTAACTCTCAAATTTATCAGAATTTGTTAACCATCTCTCAAGTAATTATGATATTGAAAAATAAATGAAACTTATTTTACAATAAGAAATAGATAAAGAAGTTTAAGAAAAATTAGAAAGATAAGAAAAATAAGAGAGATTAGAAAAAGAAAGATAAGAAAAAATTGAAAAAGAAAAAAATGAAAAATTAGATAGAGAAAAAGAAAGAGATAGATCTGATAAATAATAGAGTGGAAGTAAACGATCTTTTTATTAATACAAGAAAAAAATTATCAAGATTATAATATCAGTACTGTTGAAATTAACAGTAGCAAAATACATGAAAGATAAGAAAAATCAATTGAAAGGAATCAAAATTCTTATCATAGCCATTATCATAATTATAATAATAAATGTATTGAGATAGTAAAACTAATGTAGATGAGAATGGAAGTAGAAACAAAGGCAGGAGATCAAGATCACAATCCAGAAAGAGGAGACATAGTTCAAGTGACAGTTCTAAGTTAAAATATATAATTAATTATATAACAGAAAACATCATGATAGAAAACATCGATAGAATCGATATGAGACAAAAAGAAAAACGGGATGGGAAAACAATAGTAGTAAGACAAGAAAATGAATAAATTTTACTGTAATTTTAAAACAACAAGGCATTTATAGAAATAGACAATTATTTTTACAAACAAAACAGTTAAATAAAAATGTAAAACAAAAGCAAAACAAACAAGCAGACTTCCTTCTAATGTCAACCATATATAACATAATCTATAGCATCAAATTATTCAGAATTGAAATTTAATTAAGGAGAAACATCCTTTGATATATTTTCTTTATTTGATTTGTATATGTTGACAAATGATTACAATAATGAACAATTTTTGTTAATATTTTTGAATATGGCACAATATGATCTAATTGATAACATAATGATTCTCTGCAACTGTTTAAACCTTTTCAATTCAGATTCTCTAAAATATCAAATCTCCATCTATCTTGATTTCTTCCTTCCATAATTTAGACTTATTCAACCTTATCTATGAACTGATACATTATTCTAGTATTCCTCCTTCGCTAATTTATCAAATCTTAAAGGATTATATGGTAAGGGTGACCATCTGTGATTATGATGATATGGAATATTATTATGATTTGAATTTAATATAATTTTCTGAAATTATCAAAATAAAAATAATAATGAATAAAATAATCCACTAAGAATGTATTTTGTTAATCCAAATCATCATTTTACATTACTACTCTTATACTTTTTCTATCAATTTTCTATCTTTCAAATACTGTGACTAAATTAAAACTATCATTATGAGACAGAGAATTTCTGATGTTAAAATGAATGAAATTAATTTTTTATATTATTTTTGAAGTTTAGAAATAACCCATTTTAATCTTTATCAATATTGATTATTGAAATATAATGTCATATAGTTTCAAGTAAAATGAAAAATAATCTATCAAATTATTAAATGTGATTTAACTTATTCTTAAAATAAATTATCTTCTGAATAACATAAATAAATCTCAATTTTGAAAATATGAAAATTCCATACAAGAAGTTTCTATTCCTAATTGATTTAATTCTTTATGTTTTTATTTCTTATATTTAATCTAACATAGATAATATATGAAAATTCAACTTAAATTTAATGAAGTATATAAATATTTTATATTATATGAATTCGAATCATATTAGATGGAAGCCAAAATCAGAGGAAGAAAGATAATCTTAGAGGCTGTAATAAATAAAGACAGTCTATTTGATCGGGGCAGATGAAAAAAGTCTTGCTCCAAGATTGACTGCTAAATCCTGGATTGTAGTAGATTCAAATTCTGGAGATATTTTATATGCATATAATGAAAATTAAAGAAGGGAGATAGCTTCGATCACAAAAATAATGACATTCTATGTTGTTTAGAATATATGCAAGACTATGAATGTTTAAACTAATAATACATATGCTGAAGTTAGTTTATAAGCAAGTTTAGTAGGTGGCACAACTGCTAATTTGCTTAAAGGAGACGTATTGTCAATTGATGATTTATTTTATGGATTAATGTTACCATCGGGAAACGATGCAGCAATGACATTTGCTGAAAATTTTGGAATTTATGCTATGTATTAAAATAAAATTAAAGGAAAGAATCCAATCATATATTTTGTTCAGGAAATGAATAACAAAGCAAGAGAATTAAGAATGACTTAAACTACATATGCAAATCCACACGGATTAAATAATAAAAATAATCTATCTTCAGCCTATGACGTAGCAAAACTTTGTAATTAATTATTAAAAGATGATTTTTTTAAAAAGGTTGTAAATACAAAGATTCATTTTTGTACTATTTAGGATGAAGAAGGTAAAATAGTTATTAAATAATTTTAAAGGATTTACAAGAGATGTTATGTGGGAAAACACAAATAAATTGCTTTATTAAGGATTTCGAGGAATAAAAACTGGTAATACTTCAGTAGCAGGTCCTTGTTTGGCAAGTTATTATTAGTCAAATAACAGATCATTTACAATAGTAATATTAGGTTGTCGAAATCAAGAAGATCGATGGTCTGAAACTATGTAACTAGTATAATGGTGTTTATCTTAAATTTAATGATCTCATATATAACTTATATATCAATTATCAGTAAAATCAGAAAATCTTGATATTTTAGTTTTTATAGTATTTAAATCGCTTTGTAATGCTTTACTTTCAAATTGCAAACTATCAAGATGTTTTTAGACTCTAGATTTTGCATTGATCTATTTAGATTGATTAATCATATTGTCGATTTCAAATAAGTTTCTTTGTCTATCATCTTGATTGCCAATAATTTAGGAGAGTTGATCTAATTTAGTTTACAATTGACTATAATAGAGTCCTTATTCTTCATTCATAATTTTTTGATATTTTGAAGAGTATAATTTGATTTAGCTTTATTGATCAATATAATCTGATTATCTATAAGTTTGTGGCAATTAAAAAGTATTCAATTAAGACTATTAACTTTTTGATGTACTATTGTATATTTATTTATTTGGACTACGGATTGGTTCATTCTAATTTAATCTTTAAGGACTTTTGAATGGCTATTTCTTAATTGGAGATTATGCTTTTTGTTTATGAGGACTTAATGGAATATCTGAAAGTAATTAATGATGTTCATACTTGATATAGCAGATTTAACTTTTAGACGTTTGACGTTTTTGCAGATTGATGATTTGAGGATGTCAACTGAAAATTCTTATTTTTTTGATGGTGTTGAAATAGTTTGTATTTTGCTGGTGTTGGTTGCAGGAGTAGTCAAAGTTTTGTTCATAATTTGCTTACGAAATTCGATGAACTGTTAGGATATATCGTAACTCATAGGAGTTAACAGATAAAATTTATATATATATATAAGAAATTAACAATTCAAAAAAAGGCTTATAAATAATAATATTAGTAATCATTCATAAATTTTATTAAATAAAATAATGAAAACTCTTCTTTTCATCATTTGTGGTATCAAAATTTAGATTTTTATATAGTTGCATCTGCATTAGCATCACATGCTTATATTTACCCATTTAATAGCAATAGTGTAGATGATTTAGAAGGCCTAAACCAAAAGCAAATTACTTAATTGATAAAATACAATATTGGATTAGTCGAACATATTCCTGCAGACTAACAAAAAGTATTTGAATAGTTGATAAAGTATAAATTTCTTCATGAAATAGAACATTTGGTAAAGGTAATGTCTTATCACCAACCGATATGAACTATATGATTTTAATTGAGAGCGAGAAATTGTATTAAGGATAAGAATTAAAATAATAGAGAATAACTGAAGGATTCTCTTAAAGCTTTAAAGTATTAGACAAAGATTCAAAATCCCTTATGGAATCACTTTTTGGTCAACAAGGTATTTATTTGATCCATAATTTAGCTGATTCTTTGATTTAGAAAGCATCAAAAGTTTACAACTAAAATAATTTAGGATTCAAAATTTATCAAAATGAGGATAACTTGGATATCAATTATTTACAATAGACAATCACTCTTTATTTAGGGAAAAATGTAAAATATAAATTTAAAATATAGAATGAAGTTTATTTGTATGAACCAAATAAAGATAAATCTTATAAAGTGGATTCAAGTTTAGAAAAATGTGTTGATAATTTCTTTGGAACAACATTTGATTATGCACCTAAAGAGAACAAAATATATAAATACAATACAAATGAAATGATTGAAATTAATAAAGATAATGAAGAATAAATTATTGGGTTCTTAAAAGATATATGTGCAATGAATAAACTATCCACACTTTTTAAAAAATGTATATTTATGTTATAAATTAATTAGCCAATTAACCCAATATGTTATCAATCATTAATAAATCTATTGCAAAATTAGAAAAAATCATGAAAGAAACAGAAATAGAAATGATTTATGATATGATGAGAATTGCCCATAAAAAAGTATTATAATAAATAATATTAAGCTTTCTAAAAACTTTAGAAATACATTTGAAAATGAAGAATTGTTTGGTCTCATTTTAATCGAAGAAGAAAAGAATCCTTAACTTACAACAACTAAGGAATCAGCAAAAGTTTAAAGAATTTTAATGGAAACTAGAACAAGAATGTTAAATTAAGTTACTGTATAATATTCCATAACAATTTTATTAGTAAACTAACTCTTCTGGATATGTTATGAATGCAACCACTTATTAAATTTATGTTTGGTTTGGAGTTTTCTTTGTTATAGTCTTGATTGGTATAATATATTCTATGGTGACTATGGATATTTAAAAGGATACTTTATTGTATGCTAAATTCTTAACAACAGATCAAAGAGCATGATTAGTATATGTAATTATACCAAACATATTAATTTTTAAATTAAACATTTAAAATATCATTCATTCAATTAATTATTCTTTTAATATACAACAATATCAATAATGTAGCAAACGAAAAGCTCTTAGTTCTCCATCTTCATTTCCTATCACTAAAAATCTAGAATCATTACTTATTCCTATTGCTGAGATTTTCTAATCTTTATACAAAAATATATACTTTCAAACATGTAGTCATAGTTGGCCAATTTTCAAATACTGTAAAAGTATCAACATGTACTAATTTTATTGCTGAGTCTTTCCATTTAGAACTTATGCATAAAATTTCACAAAATTTATTAAATTAAACTTCATTTACACTTGTTGTTAAATTTTATATTTCTTTAATTGGATCTTTATTGAATTATTTTGTAGCAGAGTTTAATTTAAATATATTTACTATACCAGTTCTACTACCAACTGCTAAAAGATCCAATTTAAAATCTAAACAATTCACTTCAAATCCTCCTGGATTATGAAAAACATTATATATTTATTATTTTTATAAAGACCATTAATAAATCTTACCACCTTGACCTGCAGATATTAAAAATTCATCAGCAAATGTAACTGCTTTACATGCTTCATTTTATTTAAATTCATTCAATAAAATTTTACTATCTCCACTTAATATATGTATATAACCAGATTCATTAAATAAAGCTATATATTTGTCATCTTCACTAATTGCAAATTCTATTTATCTATTATATTTCCCAGATTAATTAAAATGTTTAGCAAATAAAGTAGATTGTATTCTTTTATACTTTTATGTATTAATATCCACTTCAATCAGATATGTTTTAAATGGAGATGCTACTATTATATTATTATTTTCATTCATAAATTATAATTTACATATTGGGAATTTCTCAAGACCTATTGATTTGATAAGCTAAATAGATAGAAATATTATTTTACTTGTATTTATTTGTTTGGATTGAATTGATAAATCCTAACTAATTTATCAAACCCTCCTTCTGCAAATATTGGTAATTTCTTATGAAAACTAATTGATTAAATAACAGTATTTATTTTTGCTTTTATAATTCCAGCTTATTCAATCTAAATAATTCTATTGGGAAGTAAATTGCTTTTGCTTGTTTAATTTTATATATTCTATGATAATAATTCTTTTAAATTTGCATTCAATTAATTTTAATCAAATTTGTCTTTTTCTTATTTAATTTACTATTTAGATTATGCCCAACTTAAGAATTCATTATTTTATTATGAATTTTTATAAAATTCTCTTAATTTTCTTTAGTATTCCTTTCCTGAAACTAGGTTTTATCCATTTTTAATAAGTTTTCTCAATTTTGTCTATTTACTTAAATCCACTTATATTTTTTCATCAAATTCATCTACCCATTATGCAGAATCCTCCTCTTAATTCAAAGGATTATTACTATTGTTTTCTTCTTCTTTTTTGAAATTTTATTACTCTTATTTGACAGATTATTCACTTTCATTTTAATTATCATTTTCAAATAACAATAGTTCTTCTTATTAATATTTTTCATATTTCTATTAAGGTACTTATTCAGAAAGTTTTTTGAGTTAGAGAGCTTTTTTAGATTTCCTATTTGGTTTATTTTAAAGTTTTACCATTATTAAATTAATATTATAATTAAAATGAATAATTCGATATTGATATTCTAATGGAATATATTAAGGATGAAAAATAAGTATATAAAAATGAACTAGGAACTTTGGATTATTATAGAAATATAGGATTAAGTGCTTTAATAACATCAAATTTAACAAAGAAAATTTAGATATAATTATTATAAATCGATTTATTAGAATGAGTTTAAAATAACATAATGGTCAAATTAATTAAGAGTCTTATTATATTTTAGCTGAATTGAATAGAATATCTCAATAAATTTGGAAAGATCAGGAATTCTTTTATAATAAATAAAATTAGGAAAAATACTTAAAATTTTTCAGTTTTATTATTGATATTTTAATCAATCTATCAATGTTTAATTAAAAATAGATGAAAATAGGGAGAAAGAGAAACAATTATAGAAAATTTGATAAATATATTTTTCACTCCAATTCTATTATTGGGAGTAAGGAACATTAATTTAGATTGTGATAATTGATTACCTTATTGATAGAAGAATCATTTTTGAATAAAAATATTTGACATATAATCTATCAGATACTCTAGATTTTTTTAATATAACTATTTAATAATGACTCATGTAGAATTATGTGTTATGCTGTGTATTTACATTAAATAATTAAGGGACTGTTACATTATCAGTTGAATTTCAATTCTAAATTTGTTTTTTCAGGATAAGCACGTTATAAATTAAAATCATTATATTTTCTAATTGTTGTCTTTTAATCTTAAGAGTTATTATATCAAATGTTATTAAGAGTTTGGAATCCCAAAGATAAAGATTTCAGGATTTCCATAGAAAAAACCAATAAATAAAATTGAATGCATTAATAAATAATCAATAGATTGATGTAATTTATATTTGAGTTGTTTAATTAAACATAATTAATTAATAATATTTTTCTGTTAATAAATGAAATCTTTATAAGGTGATAGTCCAATCACACCCTTAACCGAGAAGTCCATACTTTTAACTGACAATAATAATGAAGATTAATTTTATCCTTTAAGCTAATAAAATAATTTAATACACGAATAATAATAATATAATCAAAATCATTTACTAAATCCAAGAATTTTGACTCAAAAACAAAATCTTCATAATAAATTAAATTAAGAATATTAAGAATTAATGTAGAGAAAAAATTAATTAAGAAATAGTTATGAATAACAATAATTGCAATAATGTTCATTTAAACCAAGAATAAGTTAAAAAAGCGTAGAAATGAAATCTTAAGATATGTCACAACCTCGTTATATGTCACCTAAAAAAATTTATATTCAAGATTGTACTGAGACTTTATAGACTCAGCAATCACCAAAATAAAAAATTAAGAAGAAATCTAATAAAGAGAATCTTTGGGAAAGACTTAGTCAAAATAAGTAAAGTGTTCAATTATAGATGTCTAATCCAATTATTCTAGAATAAACAAATTAAGAAAGAATAGATTAAACTAAAATAAACGAAATAGTGAATAGATTATATAATTAAACTTATATACCTAAGAAATTAAAATAATAAAATGATAGTAGTAATCAAATTTAAGGTTCTTTAAGAGGAAGTCATAATGAAAAATTGGTTATACATTACTTTGTTAGGGAATTTTATAAAGTATTAACTTAGGCTAGATGTGAAACTTTGGATGATTTAAAAAATAATTAGTAAATGACATTTTAATTTTAAATTGAAAATGATTTATGTTTGATTACAATAAATGAATTATGTTAGATTTTGGATAATTTGGGATTTGTTCCATTAGAAAATAATCAATTATAATATCAAATATTTCAACATTTGTAATGTCCTCCAGATTTTGATATGATATTATCTAGAAATCTATTGTGTTTTTTATTATGTGTGTAAGGTTATCATAATGAAATCGAATAAATTCCAAATTATGAAAATTAATACAAAATTAATTTTCCTATTTAATTTAATAATGGAATAACACAATTTATTAATGGAAATTTAAGAGTCTATAATCCAGATCTATTACTATAAAAATATAATATATTAAATGTGAATCATTTAACTTATAAAAAAAATAGAGATTTACATTAAGATGTAAATACATCTTTTAAGACAAATAAATAAACTTAAGTATTGGCAATTTAACATAGAAAAAGAGTGGCATCAGAAATTTAACATTAAAATGTTACTTTAAATGATTATGACTAAATTTACAATAAAAAGAAATAAAAATTAATTGAAGAATAAGAAAGAATAAACTAAGAATAATGTACTTTTAATCCATAAATAAATGATGCTCAAGTTAAATCAAAATATTTATAATCTAAATAATAGAAGTTAAATGATTAAGTAAATCAATCCTAAATTAATATACCTTAATTTACACCTAACACTTTTAAAAATAAACCTGTAGTTGTATAGATGAAACCAACAACAAATAGTAATATAGCTATTGAAAGAATGATAAAAGGAAGAGTATAAAGATAATTGAGTTAAGCAATTATTAAATAAGGAACATGTAATTCTAAAAAGAGACAGTAGTTAGAAGAATAAATATATGAATAGGAGTTGGGTCATAAATAACCATTAATGTTTATAGATGTAATTATAGATAACAATAAAAAAGAGAGGATTATAGTAAATTAAAATGATACAGCTGCAAAATTAGCCTCTTAATTCATAGAGAAAAATAAGATTGATAAGAGTCATTAAGAAAATTTAATAAAGTTAATTTAACAACAATTACCTAATCATTGAAATTATATTTAATATTTTGTACTTTGAATTTTATGATTAATATATTATTGTATATTATTGTTATACTTTTTCTTACTATAATAAAATTTAGACACAGCTCCAAATATTAAAATAAGACTCTTTTAAACATGAATTGAAATAAACTCATTTATTAAAGATTCCAAAAGTAGAAAGATTTGAAATTTTACCTTACAAAGAAAAAGTGTACGAACTGCGATTTAATAATGTCAGTTTGTTAGTAAATATATATGCAATAATAAAAATATAAATGAAATATATGATTTATCTGATAGTTGTTATTTAAGCATTAAAAATGGAAAGAAGGATTTCTAAATAAGTTAAGAATTATAATCTTAAATTTTAATAGATAGATAATTTAATTAAATTCTTAATGAAGATTGTGAATATTATGCTTAGGCTTTGAAGCTTAGAAAATTACTATTCAATTAATTGATTAATCCAGATCTATAAATAATTTGCAGAAATTTATTTAATGGAAACATAGGTATTTTGAATCCATTTTAACATCTCAGTTAAGAAGATATATTCAAACATTGTTGCAATAATTTGATTGAAATTGAATGGAAAGAATCTAATAAACAAA